AGCACCTCTAGTGACCGTCTGAGTGACTGTCACTAGCAGTGTCACTTTGAAGCAATGTAAACACTGCCTTTTGTCTGAAAAGTCAGTGTTTACGTTGAAAAGCCTGTAGGGACATGCTATAGACACCAGTACCACTACATTAAGCTGTGTGTGTGCGTCTGCTAGTGAGTGAGCTTGCTTGCATGCGTGTGCCTGCTAGTGAGTGAGCTTGTGTTTTTATGTCAATGAGCTGATGTATATCAGTGAGATTGTTTGTCTATGAGGCTGTGTATCAATGAGCTTGTGTGTGTCATTGAGATGTCAGTGAAATTGCCTGTGTGTGCATGTGAGTATGCTTATTGTATAATTAAACGTTTTACCCTGAAAGGACCAATATTTTATATTAGAAAAAGCAATATATATATATATATATATATATATATATATATATATATTACTCAATCATCTGTCATGGTAAGACATAGCCTTACATATTACATGCAACAATATATGGTGCAGTGACTCATGGGGCTGGCACAAATTCTTTTTCCAGGGCTGCTTTGTATCCCCAGTCCGGCCCTGATCACATGCACGGAATAGCCGTCCATAGCATTGCCGGCAGGGGGAGTGCCTGGAATGACAGGCAGTTCTCCTGCTGCCTGAAATAAAGTGAAATAAAGTTAAAAACTTTTTTTAATTCAATATTATATATGATCTAACTATAGATATATATACAGATACACATACACTGTCTAAGTGTATTCTAATATAAATATATATATATAAAATTATATGTATATGTATTAATATCAAAATACATGTAGAATGATATTGATTAAATATATATATAATTATGATTATATATATATTTATATAATATAAAATAAATAAATATGTAAACACGTTAAAAAATAAAAATAAATTATATATATATATATATATTAATTCTACGTATATATTTATGATATATTTTTACATAATTAGGTCATTTTATTCATTACAATTTGTGGGACCTGCCTGACAACCCATGCAGAAAGTCCAGGGAATTTTATTTGCTAGCACTTTATTTAACCCTGTAACTTTCTAAAACACCATAAAACCTGTACATGGAGGGGTACTGTTTTACTCAGGAGACTTCGCTGAACACAAATATTAGTGTTTCAAAACAGTAAAACATATCACAACAATGATATTGTCAGTGAAAGTGAAATGTTTTTGCATTTTTCACACACAAATGGCACTTACACTAATGATATAATTGTTGTGATACATTTTACTGTTTTGAAACACTAATATTTGTGTTCAGCAAAGTCTCCCGAGTGGGTTTTATGGTGTTGTCAAAAGTTACAGAGTCAAATATAAGACTTGCGTTTCAGATTTTTCACATTGAAATTTGCCATATTGGTTACGTTAAAATAACAATATATTTAAAGTATAAAAGCGCTAAGCCTATAATTCTGTATACACAGATGAGGTGGCAGAAAAAAATGTGAAAAGTTTCTGTATCACCTTCAAAATGTTAAACACCTCTATTACAGGGTTAAATTCCAAAAAGCTGCTACACACCTGTGTGAACCCAACTCCCACACCAAAAATCAAACAAAATACTTATATAGGTGGAGCGCAAAATCAGATCCACAGTTCCATGGAATCCTTTACACAGCTTCAACTCAGATGGATATAAAAAAGATAAAATGCATATAATAGTGAAGTACAGTTATAGTAAGTTGCAAATATTTAATAAACGTTTCACTAGACATAAAACACTCCTAGCAATAAAAGTAATAAATCAAAATCAATATTGAATAAAATTACATAAATTAAATGAAATAAACAATGAGCCTCTTACAGGATAAAAATAAGTGAGTGTATGCAGTCCCAGCTGCTACTCACTAACGCTTTATAGTTGCCTTAGTCCAGGCACAGGGTTGACAGGCAGCCGGCTTCTCTCTTGTCTCCTCCACGGATGTCGTAGAGAAAGCGGGCCGCTGAAAGATCCTGGATGCCGGTCTGGGGTTCTCTGAGCTTCCCGGGTGCTCCGCCCCTTAAGGGGCAAAAAAACTAATTTGAACACCAATTTTGGCCAGTGTTTGGGACTATGTGGCTTCTAAAAAACACTGGACATACCCCATTTGCAATACCTTGGGTTATGCCCAGTCTTTTTTAGAAGCCACATAGTCACAAACACTGACCAAAATTTGCGTTCAAATTAGCATTTTTCACACACAACCAAATATTAACGCTAACTTTGGCCAGTGTTTGTGACCAAGTGGCTACTAAAAAAAGACTAGATATACCCCATTTCCAATTCCTTGGGTTGTCTGCTAATTCTCATTCCTGGGCTATCATACGATCTCAAAAGCAACGTAACCAATCTAGCGAATTTCAATGTAAAAAAAAATGAAAAATGTAACATGCTATATTTGACCCTGTAACTTCCCAAAACACCATTAAATCTGTACATAGGGGGTACTGTTTTACACACAAAACATCGCTGAATACAAATATGTGTATTTTATTGCAGCAAAAGCAAACAGTATTATGGCATTCACAGTAAAAATGTCATGTAGAACTAAAAAAATAACATTTCTTAATTTCTCACATTTTTTTTATTTTTATTCCTATTATATTATGTTTCATAGCTAAATATGTGATGTTAAATGAAAGCCCTGTGCACTTATTATGAAAGAGGTGAATTACGGTTGAACAGACATATAGTCAAATTCAAGGTTTTGTTTTTTGTTTTGATCACAACGTGTACATTTGGTTCAGTCCTTAATGGATTAAAGCGGTTAAAGGTCTTTAATTTCAATGTCAACATACACAGCATGGTCCCACGGAATGCATCCAATGCTTCTCACAGAGAAGTATTGCATTCTGCTCTTCTATGACTTGGCGGAGTGCAGTGATTGCCGAAGATGTGTCCTTTCTCCCAAATGCATCTGTATGAAAGGCATTAGACTGTACAAAGGTCATCAGACCTTAAGTGGCTGCTGCAAGGTGAGTTTTCTGACCACAGTAATTGAAACATATTTACAGTATTTTCATAGTTTACCTTTCAAAGCATCATTCTGGTGCGTTCAACAAAATATCTCTCTACTAACTTACCAAAAGGCAGTTAAAAAAAAAAAAGTAACAACATCATGAAGTTTGTTTTAGATCAACTATGGTTATTTGTTTTTTTTTTCTTCACTAATTAGTCATGAGAAGGATCATGCCCTAATAAAGCACAATAAAATGATGGTACGTAAGTTAAGCAGTTAAAAGATAAATGACTTTTGCTTTTAACAAATAGAAAAATGATACATAAAACTAAGGTTTTATAATGAGATATTAGAGAACATGGATTGGACTAAACTCAAATAAACTTAAATGGCTTTAGAAGTAAACTCAAGGATTAATTGAGATCCCAGGCAGGTGCTATGCATGTAATTCACTAAATGTTCAAGAACCTGCCAAGGAAGAGGAAAAATGTGTTGCTTTTGAGATAATTTCCCAGAAGCTTCATAAAAGAAAATTGATTACAGAAATTTAATAAGTACAGCAGAGTTAGAGATGTAGTAATCAAATGAGTTTTTAATTAGATTTCAGGTAAAAAGAAGGGTCATTCTAATTTGCGTACTCGGTTTTAAACAGTGTTTTAGTACGTTAGCGGATTTTAAATCCATTTTCATTGAAATTATAAAGCAGACAGTTAAATGAAAAAAGGCATGAGACGAAACAGGTGTAGTTTGTACAGTGGAAGGTTAAATTAAACTTAGCACAAAAATCTGAGTGATATCTCTGGAACATGATTTACAATCCCAAAAATAGTTTCACAGTAAGAGGAAAAAATACACAATGTAGGATTTAAAGATACAGAACAAATAGTCCAACGATACAATGTCCAAGACACAATGTAGGATTTAAAGATACAGAACAAATAGTCCAACGATAATCTCACAACGACCTTTACTGGAAAAACAATCAATTTTATTGCAATCTGGAACCAAGTGAAATTGTTTAAAATGGCTGTCGAAAGAATTAAATTTCATAACCATATCTGATTATTTATTAAATATTCTAAAACATGTTTCTCTTTAACAAATGTCCACTTATTATAAAGATAAAAAGTCATCGTGTATACTGATTATGGATGTTTATTTTTTCATCTCTGTCACATAACCATTGACCAGCAATCCGGCAGATTTAGTAGATACTAGTAACATAGAGGTAGTCCTTGGAATACTGAAGGCTATATATTTTATGGTATTACATTACATTACTTTTGGTTTTATTTAATATATAGCTCCATAGCAAGCAACATTGGTCTCGACTTAATATTTTTGGATAAACTTTTAAAATGATTTAATATTTTGAAAAACATTTTAATATTTTGTTATGTTAAAACACTTTTGATATATCAATATATTTATTGATATGGTATAGTTTGGTAGTTGGGGGAGTGGCTTTAACAGATTCCAGGTGGGACATCTGAGATCACTGTCCAGAAGAGTGAAGTTCTAGGAACAGCTAAGATACTGCACAGGACCCTCAGACTCCCAGGACTCTGGTAGAAGACCTGAGAATGAGGAATACACAAAATACTGGAGAAAAGTCAAATTCGCACACTCATTCGCACAAAAAACTGTTACAAAAAATGATTCAGCAGAGGTTTAAAAAAAAATATATTTTCTTCCGTAAGAATGAAACCAAGACAGAATTGTTATAAAATATTCATAAACATATGTTGTGTTTATTTGTGTTGATTTTCAGGAGTAAAGTTTAGCAAATTAATAATAGTGTGAGAAGATATATGAAAAAAACAAACCTTCAATACCAACAGATCAGTAAAACACTATATACATAGATTTAATTTAATTAATAGAATATCTGTGAAAATAAATAGAGCAAAACACTTGGCAAGACACAATGTAGGATTTAAAGATACAGAACAAAATAAATGCAAATAAAAAAAGAAAAAACATACAAGGCTAGATCTTGAATTTGTTTTGAGAAAATATATGTTTTTTCAAGCTTGAAAGCAAAGAAAAAAGTGCAAGAGATGCAATAATTAACCCAATTTTTCCTGCATTCTTTATTATTCACAGTGTTTGGTGAAGGTCAATGTCAAACTTAAACCCATGTTGGACTCGGTGGTTGCAAACAGAATAAAATGGGGAGAAATGCATCAAAAAATACTTGGATCCTCCCAAGAAAGTGCTTCCCCAAGTTCCACCTTCACATCACCACCCACTTCCTTCCCTACACCGGCTTCTTCCCCTCAACCAGCTTTAGAGTGTCTCTTGAAGACTTAAAGCTGGAACACCATTTTTTGCCTTGTGCAAGAGTTACCTTAAAAGGCTGTCATAGGCTTAGCTGTTCTATTAAGTTACTGCGGCCATGCTTTTATAGAAGGAGAATGTATCTCTTGGTCATAGTTTGGCTTTTGCCTGAAAGCTCAGTGGATTGAAGATGAAGACAAGAAGAGGTGGGGTGACAATTAAGACACGGTGAGGAGTCTGATTCGGGTTTTGTTGTCCGAGAAGACCAACAGCATTCACTCAAGCTTTGGAAACTGTTCACTAATGCTGTGCCAAATATAAGTGGATATTGTCTTGATGGTGATGGACAATGGACTCAGCTTAATTCATAGAGCACAGCACAGTTACTAAAATGCACAATATAATCAATTCATATAAATATGCTGAAAAGAAACCAATATTTTAATTTAGTGTTTGCTTTTCCTATGTACTTACGTATACACAAATGTTGTGCCTGCCTCGTTTGGTGTTTATTTTTATGATATGCTTGTATTTGTTTAATTCCATTCTTCTGGTGAATTGACTTGGCATCACTTTGCATCTCTGCTTTCAATATTAAGTGAATGGATAGACTGCGAAAGCAGGTATTTTCCGAATTTCCCAAAGACAAAACAAACTATGCAGAGAAGATTATATAATGTATAATTAAAACTAAAAAAATAATAATTTTTTAACACTTTATTTTTCCAGCTTCATGTTTAAAGCTCTCTAACTTGGAAGTTTCAGACGGATAAATTCCCTTCAGATATAATAGAAATATATAGAAACTTGGTGTTGCCCGCTTTTAATTATATAGGAATTAAAAGTCTTATGTTTTCCAGAATCACTACCAAATGGAAACGACCGTGATTGCGACTGTTTCATATAAAACAGGTCAGAGCACTGGGAGGTTACTTATTACATAGAAGATGCTGTACTAGTTTATTATCCTCACTCACAGTGGCAGACACTGTAATCCTCTATGTAAGTACTAGTGATGATAAAAATATACTCAGCTGAATAAAAATATCAAAAACAACACAATCAGTTATCAGGAGAAGAAAAAAGAAACATTTAAATGTTGCAGAATCTTTGCCTTGTAAAAAAAAAAATACCAAGTGAAATGCGAAACGCATCAGGTAAACTGTTAATGCAATCTGTCTTTCTATTTTTTATGTTTTATATATAATAAAACTGAACATTCTTCCACATTTTAATGGTTTTTTTTTTCTTCTGACGACTAAGGTTGGTGTTCTCTGTCTGATGATGATGTAAGTTCTCTGAACCCCTACTTACATAGAAGATTGTAACTATTACTTGTCTGATAGGAATAAATAATGTAAGGTCAGATTAGTGCCAGACTACCTCCTTTTATTTTCTGGTGAGTTTTTCTTGTACAATCTGTTTTCCACGCAAACTCAGTCATGTAGCCAATTAAACATCACATTGATGTCTGACAAATGCCAATTAAATCTTAAATGTGATAGGTTAAAAAAAGTTGTATATCCAGATCTTAATCTACATTAATATGTGGGTCTATCCTTATAAGAAAATAGAAAATGTAGAAAAACGTTAGACACAATCACCTATTTTTATGTCAACTAAGGGTGCTCATACCCCGGGGCTTGCTTCAACATGCCACCAGTTCCAAAAAAAAAAAAATAGTCCAACGATAATCTCACAACGACCTTTACTGGAAAAACAATCAATTTTATTGCAATCTGGAACCAAGTGAAATTGTTTAAAATGGCTGTCGAAAGAATTAAATTTCATAACCATATCTGATTATTTATTAAATATTCTAAAACATGTTTCTCTTTAACAAATGTCCACTTATTATAAAGATAAAAAGTCATCGTGTATACTGATTATGGATGTTTATTTTTTCATCTCTGTCACATAACCATCACCACGTCTTCAAAATGAAGAGGAACCTTTTCTTACAATATTGATTTGTCCTATCATAGACTACGGTCATGGCATTTGATGTTTTCCCCCAAAAGAATACAATGGTCTGACTTGAGCAAACTGCTTTAAATAATATTTTGCTTAATATAAGACAGTGTCCAATGCTTTGTCATATGTTGATTTTCTGAATTTTGTACTCTTTTTGTGCTTGTACTGGTCTCACTGCACGGTCGCCCATAGCAACAACCATAAATAGTTATAGCATTGCAGACTTCTTTGCACTGAATACATGACAATGTCAACCATCAATCAATTTGCTGTTGTAATTGCTGCCATTTATTTCTCCTGTCCTGCTGTAATTCAGCGTCTTGTGGGTCAAATTCTGAAACTGTTGACTAACACTTTTGGCTCTATTCATCGGCACTGAGAAATCTATGTAATAGAATTCAGTACTTTGAAGCCACTGTAATAAGAGAATTCCGAGCTTCACACTATATTTAATGCTTGTGTTACCATGTTAGATTTCATGAATTAAACAGTGGGTACAGCTTGTAGTGTCGTGAAGATCAGAACGCACACCGTCATAGAAACACACAATTTACCCATTAAAATTGTATACTGAAGATTGCTGTAATTACGAAAATTAAAAAAGTTGCATATGCCATGTACCATTATAATAGGTGACCAACTAATATCAGGTAACATATTCACATAGGTACTCGTAACCCCCATGCCTTAGTGAATTTGTACCAACTTGTGGCAGATGGATAAATAGTTTGTATCTTAGCCAGCTGTTAGACGCACATCTAACTATATATCTATATTATATAATATATTTATATCTACGCTGTATATGATATGTAGGTTTCTCTCCTGTTAGTGATAAGTTCAAATGCTAAATGCACATTAAAATGTCAGTCTTTACTTGTTGAATGTGGACAGAAATATATATATGAAACCAAGAGGGCTGCATTAACCTCAATATGCATACATTATAAGGGTGCTGCTAAGGCCAATTATAACAACATATAAGATCCAGCGCACTCACTCATTCACTAAATAGCAATTTAAAATCTCACAGAAAGTAATATCTTTCTGTTTTTTTTTGTTTTTTTTAAACACCTAGCCTTGGTAAAGATAATTGAGGTTTAGTTACAGTATATGATCATTGCATAAGCCTGCTACAACATCAATGTACCCCATTCTTGGCAGGTCCAAGCCTAATGCTTGCTCTTATGGGATTAATCCACTTACTTGGGAAATGCTTCCTCCTGAGGCTCCCTGCAGGTCAAGGCTAAATAGGGCCCTTGAATAAGGCACTGTGACAGGGGGGTGCAAAGCCACAGGAGTGAGCCTGGACCCCCAAATATATAGACAAAATCAAGCGAAATGACTCACTTGAACATGCATACATTATAAGGGTTCTGCTGGGGTCAATTATAACAACATATAAGATTGTACCTGCCTCGTTTCACTCATTCACTAAACAGCAGTTTCAAAATAGTAATAGGTATTTTTTGTTTTATTTGGGGTTTTTTAAAACACAGAACCAAGGAAGAATAATGGGGGTTTAGTTGCCGTATATGATCACACATTGCATATGCCTGCCATAAACAAATATATCTAATTTCATTCTATATATATATATATAATGTTTAAGAAAGAAGTACTCAAAAGTAGTGTTCTAATTCCCATGAAAACATGTCTTCGCTTCAAATGTTACAGTTGAGACTCATTTTAATGCACAGAAAATAACTCTAAATTACACTCAGAGAACACAACTTGATTTATTAGTTCAGCAATTTCAATACCATATGTTGGGGAACCACTAGACTGTTTAACTGTTTGTGCTTTGCATTATTCTGCCTGGCTTGCTGTGTAGTCTTTTCAATAGGGAAAATGTATTTGATTTTTTATGGTGAACTGACTTACTTGTGCCAGTGCGCAACCTCCAGAACTATCTTGTTCATTTTGTAAACTAAGAGCAAAAAGGTGCATTTAGATGTATAGTCTGGGAATAAAATGACATGCGTATTTAGCTATACTTGCAATTTTATCCTAAGCAAGAAATCTCCATGCTTCCAAAGAAACTACATAATTTACCCTGTCTACAGACAATCACCCACTGCTACCAGTTAGCAGAGATTCTGAGATTCTGAATTAAATTAAAGGAACACTCTGCATTCCTAAAGCATTTTAGTTTGCTGAAATGCTTTGTGTAAGAGTGTACCCGCTTTTTTTGATTATACAAAAAGCGCAGATCTCAATAGAAATTGACAATTTTATAAACAAGCCTTGTTACATCCTCCTGGTTATTAATCAGACAAATGGACCTGTAACTTCCTGGTAGTTTAGCTCAGTGGCACTAAACTAAAGAAGCAGGCAGCAGCTTCATTTGGGGCATATCTACAAAACAGGCATTTTTATATATATATTTTTTTTTATTATTTAGCAAGTGGAGTGTCCATTTAATACATGAAATTCTATCTATGGCCCTCACCCATTATGATTAGGGAAACTCAAATCATTAATATTCACAGTTTCTCTTCCATATGCTCTCCACAAAACTGACAGTAGATGCTCCTAAACAAGCAAAGAGATAAACCGCAAAATCCTATAAATTATAAAATGAAAAAGATAATGATGCAGTACCACCTGTGTGCGTAAAATGGTCCTCACAAACACAAGTATTAGAGGGTCTTCAATATAAATCAATTTTCTTCATATCTCCATAGTTCATCAATCCTCAGCAGAATAAGGATAAGAACCTCAATAGAATGAAATGAGATACAAATAGTGCATGAAGGCAAACAAATGAAATCATCAGTGCATTTAATATATACATAACGTAAAACATAGAGAAGTATGTAAATAACTTCACCGGTGATGAGGTCACACAATGCTTCCTGCCCAACGCATTTCATCACTCTTGTTAGTACATACTCCTGCCTGATCATCTGTTATACAGATGTGAGTGGCACTCAGAGTAAAATGACGTATATCTCCCACAATATATGCCTGTTTTTCTGTGCTCAGGTCTCCTGTATCCTGCTTCTGATAAAGAAGCATTTTTCTTTTTTTCATTTTAATTTTTCAGGACATGTATTCTAGAAAGATTAACTGCTCTATATTGCCAGACACAAAACAATGCCCTAAATAAAGCCGGGCTCTCTTTAATAACTTTTTTTGTATTTCAACAAACAATCATAGAATAGAAACGAGGCAACAGCCTTAAACTCGATGGGGAACCTTAAATTTGATGTGGAACATTCCATCATTGAAAAAAAATAACGAAAACAATTTAATGCAAATTCACTCTTTAAATAAATGTTGCCCAATATGAGTGATTTGGTTTCATTCCACTGCATTGCCACTTTGTATAATATCACAGTCCCCCTTATGTACATTAATTCGATTATGTATTCTTTGTGCACATATTTTCCCAGGATTATACTCTCTAGCAGAAAGCACAGCAGATGCAGCATTTATTCCCATGACTTTACAGTCGAAGCCCAGTTGAAGATCCTATTTTATCACTACACCAACATCAGTGAACTGTGAATTGAATTTTCTCAGCTCCTGAGTACCTGAGGGTTCATGAGCCAGACGTGGATAATTTGCAGATTTACAAAGTTTGATAAGCTACTTTCCTCACTGTTGCTCGGATATTGCAAAGAAAAACAACCTATAGAGCCACCTACATGGTTTACTGACGTGAGAATTGTTGGGAATTCAAAATGAAATTCAAATTTTATATCAAAATAGTTGAACTGCAAGCATAGCTAACTTGGCTGATTTGTCCAATTCAGCTACATTATCTGTAAAAGGACACTCAAGCTTGCTTTATGTGTAAATAGTGTGTCCTCTTTTCAATTGACAAAAAGTGCAGATCTCAATAGAAATTAACCTTGTTACACCCCCCTGGCTGTCAATCAGACAACAGGTCCTGTCACTTCCTGGTTTGGTTATCTCAGTGGAGATAAACTCAAGAGGCAGCATTTGCCCAGAGAACCTGCCTTGCAAAGACGTCTCATTGAACTGCATTGGGAAGTCTGTGATTGGACAGCCACAGAAAGTTTGGGCGGGGTTAGAAGGGGAGGGCTTGCAAAAAGTTTCATACAAGAAATATGCAGCTTTTGCAAGTTGTTTTTAAATGTACACCAGATTAAAAAAAAGCATTATGAAATGCATTTATGTTTTCATTCGAGGTATGTCTACTAAACAGGGTTTTTTACTTTTTTTATTTGGGCAGTGGCGTGTCACTTTTAAATTTTTGGTTTACGTTGAATTCACTTTGAATTGCTGACATTTCTTTACTTTAGTAAATAACCCTTCTTATTGGGTGAAATGTATTTTAACTTTGTTTTAACAAAAAAAACATAGACATTCCACCATCTGCTCCTTTTTAATATTTTGACCTAACATGCTAACAAAGTTTAATATAATACAGATAGTACAGATAATATACAATATGACCTATTTGCTAACTTTTCATTTATATTTCTTTTTAGTTGGCAATGCATATATTGCACTACAATTATATCTGCCCGTTTTGTACATAAAAAAAAAAAAATATTGAAACTAAATGGGCTTCTGACTTTGGGAATACGTTTCTCTCGTCTACATAAACCCTTATTATCTAAGTGGCAATTGGCAGATTTATTTAAGCTTAGGAACTGGAAATGTTACTGTTACGGAAAATGTGAAACTTATAGTCCATGTTTTAACTGCTTTAAGACAAGAGATTTGACATGGCATTAGACATTAGGCCTAGCACATCTTTCTTGAAAAGGTTAATGCAATCCTGACATACTGCACATGGAAATTGTCAGTGAGACAGTATTTATCAGAGAACCACAAAAAGTAGTAAATAAATGCAATGAAAGATTTCAGTTAGTTTATACATTGTCTATAGTGCCAGTTCACACCTCAGGATCACAGGTCCAAGATGGACATGCTTTGTCTTTCATCATTACGAGGTCAATAAAATTGGTACAATTGAACTGGCTAAGCAAACCTCTCTAACCCATGATACTTGCATATAAGATACATTTTCAATGTATTGTACCTGCTAAAAAAAAACGTTGTCATTATTATAAATTGCTCTATTGATTTGACAGTACTCAGTACATGCCTATGCAGTTCGCACACTCCTTTTTTTTACAGATTTGTGTGTTTCATGACTCTTAAAGGTTAAGTTTGAATGTATGTTCAATTCTGCATGTTGAACATTGCATCTTCTAGTTCTGTATCAATATTGTTATTTATGGATTTTGGAGCCTGATTAGCTATGTGTATATTTCTATTTTGTATACACATATACATCAATTCATAATTAATATGCACTTATTTTTTTCCTAGTACGAGTTACAGTAACAGATTACTGTCCATTCCTAACACTGTCTGTATCTGCTTTTGTTCCCTTTCTGTAGGATCACCTCAGACCCATTACTGTTCTGTTGTAGTTTGTTAAATTCAGTCTTGTTTTAAACAGCATGTTTTGGATATAAAATTTCTTGGGTATGTTTTTATTCTTATTTTCTCACAGAAATAAATAAGAAAAAGTCACTTAACATTTTTGTCCTCTGCTTTTACTCTTGGTGTGTGTCTGCGCATGCGTGTGCGCGTGCATGTGTACATGCAAGTTCATTTAATCTTTTCTTGTAAATGTGTTATGTAGATTTTAATGCTTTAAAATCTATTAGGGTGTGCATCTTCTGCAATAAGCTCGTAACAAACCAGGAAGAGGTTTAGATTGCATAACCTTCTAGGGCACGTCTGAGCTTATTCAATAAGCTGTACTTATTGGGCACAGCAAAGGATTCTGGGAAAAACAGTTTCGCTTTTAGAAATATAACAACCAAACTACAACACACAGGAACCTAAGTAATGACATTATGTACTGAAATATTTTTTAAGTAAACAAAGGAAACATTGAGAGGGAGAGTAAAAAGGGTTGGCACATGATGTAAAAGCTATATAATTCAACTATTTAATTAAAAAATTAAAGATTACAAAAAAACACTAACACTAATTTACACAAATCATTTTAAGTTGCATTTTCCGTTCGATTTTCGGAAACCACTTGAGACATTAGTTGTATTGAACAATTTCAATTGCTTTTATTTGATTTGTTAACTGCAGACAGCCTGAAGTCTGTAAATGTTGACAATAAACCTGATTTTCAAGGGGAGGGGAGGGGTTTGAATAATTTTGATTACGCCTGTAAGTCATCTCACCTTTCAAAAAACTGTCACAAATAATGATATGCGCATTCAGTACACAAATGCTTATGGATCTTTTTCACTAAATAGTAAATTGTGGTGAACTAGAAACCAGATTTAAAAATTTAGACCAAGTAACCAAGTTGAAAAAAAATGGGTGAATTTGAGTATTTTCCAAAGTAGTAATTGTGCCTACATTTTCAATTTGACTTTTGGTTCACACTTTTGCCATGTTGCCCATGGATTTGCCATGTCTTTCTCTCTCGTCCTTTTAATATTTCTTCCTCACTCTCGTAACCTTGATTAGATTAGGTATGCTCTGCAGGACTATAGTGTGTGTTTTGCTCATGTCTGCTTCATTATTAGTCTAAAGGAGCGTTCTAAGTACCATAATTACTATAGCATTATTTAGTGGTTATGGTTTCAGGATTCCTCTAAAGCTGTTGCACAATAAGTAGTCAAACCATATTTGAACAGTTACTTGGCTCTCCTGGAAACTCACCATCCAACCCAATCTTTGAAATAACGGATAACTAATAACTAAGGAAGTTCCCTATCTGTGTTAGATATATCAATTGTATCCCTTTTTGTGTCCAGAGAAAAAAGGCAGAATTTATAATACTTAAATGTAGGTAGGGATTTCCACTTCCTCTGAAGAGTAGGACTGCACCCGCCACACCCAAAATGTGTCCATCCATAAAAAAAAAAAAAAGAATTGATTACTTACTGTGAGATGGTGCGACAGGACTCCTGGCATGAAAACACCCACAGTAGACTTTATTTTAGCAAGAAATATTAGATAATGAGATTAACTCCTGGTAGCCAATCTTTCCAAAAGTCTGTTAGATCAATTTTAAAAAGTATTACACAGTTCTGCAACCGACCAGTAAGTTTAACGTTGAAACCACACCACAATGATATTTTAAACAAAGAAAAAACTTTTTTAAGTTTATTTATTAGAGACCCCGAACCTGAGCCTAAGGCAACCAATCAAATTCTAAGGGGCATATAACTGGAAAATTACAATTTACAACATATGCAGATATATTCCACAAAAATATTTCAAAACCAATGAATGGAAATAGATTTTACATTTACTTTTCAGTTATAATATCAATTTTAAAACAATTTTATATATACATTTATTTTTTGCAATCATATATTCCATGTATCTTTTTCTCAAAACATTCTGTTTTTCAGTTACTGAGTGTATGCATGCCTCAAATTAAAATAGGTTGTGATTAGTGGTGGCAAAGGGTTAAATGGAAAACGGGCAGTAAAATCTCCCATCTTATCATGCCAATGTCAACCTGGACATTGTACATTTGTTCCTACATTTTGCTTGGGAACCAAACTGCATTCCATCTGTCTCTGTAAAATGTTATGTTTGCAAGCCAGTTCAATGCAGGCAAACTGTAGAAGCTAATTTAGAAAAAAAAAGTGCAATACATACTCACCCCATATGGCCTGCTTTCACAATATTAAAATTTGTTCTGGCAAAGAAGAAAGCAGTTCATGATATTTACTCAAATTTACTGTGGACTCCAGGGTGGCACAGTGTGGGGTTGTATAGGTAAGATTTCTGCGTATACGTACATTGTCAATGAACCAATGAATGTATGCAGTTGCATATTTACTGCGGTTATGAATTATAATTTCCGTAGCATTGCCAAAGGTCATAGCTATAGAGACAGATGGAAAATTGTTCAACACACAACATCTTTAAATGTATGGACTGGACAGAGCAACATAATAACACAGATCTTCATGGTGGCATTTTATATTTTTCTAAAATGTGATATAAAAATGCATTTTTATATTATCAACCACTTGGAGAGAAGATGGGTTGGTGGCTGAATTAGTCAACAAGGCAAGGTAATGTGCGAGGGGAGGTAAAACATTTCAGAGGAATGCAGAGACAATGCAGCTAAAAGTTATAAAATCAACACATTTTCTATTATTTAAACACATTTTCTGCATTTATCATTGAATGTTCCCATAATATAATGCCTATGGTCAGAGTTATAGAATTACATCTAAACTTTGTAAATAGACTGACGATGGGAGCATGACACTATTAAAGGTATGCAAACCTCCATTCTCAAGCTTGCTGATACCCATAGTATCCATGAATGGGCCAGTTACTGATTGATCAACTGTTCAATACTGGCGCAAATTGTCACCACTTTTCCAGTCTAGTGAACTGGAATGTGCATACGTGAACAATGACGACTTCCCTATACTTGTCAGTGGGGGTGCTGGATGAAGTTGAGTGAGCATGTGTACTGTGTAGCCGTCGCATTCAAAATTACTAAGTGCGTAGAGCAATGAATCTGCAGCAAATTTTGCGTTAAGCTTGAACATTCCTCTGTGAAAACTATTCAGATGATTCAGAAGGCTTTCGGAGAAGATATATATATATATATATATATATATCATTTATTTTTTGATATTTTGAAAAAATCACTTTAAAAGTTATTCCAAAATATTAAATAATTTCAAAAGCTAATCTAAAAATACACTTACACTCCTCAAAAATCCTTGCCCCATCTAAAGGTATAGTGGCTAGGATTTTATTTAATTAATTTTTTTTCATCTATTTTTTTATCACTCTGCTCTTCCCCACCAATCCTAGGTACTATGTAGGTTGTTTAGAATGGACATTACCCAGTGGCTATTTGGGCTTCAGTGACTCAGGATTGGAAGACCTGAGAGCAACACATATTCTCCCTCTAGAAGCCGGATATATTTTATACTCTAAGTATTTATCTTTTACCATTTTAATATTGTACTGCAGTGTGAAATCATCTTGCAACATTCGAGTGCAATAAAAAAAACAAAGAAATCTCCTAATTTGGACTTGAGGTCTTGGTAACCAGAATTATTAATTCTACAAGACCCACATTTAATAACGTGTCCTCTATACATTAAGCTGGCAATGGCTTAATCCAAAAACTCCACGAGCAAGGCAAGTCAACAAAGGCTTTACCTGGGAGGTCAAAAACACGTTAGTAGGCACGGCATCTTGTAAGAATGTGTTAAAAAGTCCCTCTTGTGTACAACTCATACAATGTGGGTCTAGTGTATATCAAATAGGCAGAGAAGTATTATGATCTTACTGGGTCTTAGGAAGGTTACCAGTTTGCCACCTTCATTCTTCTCATTGGGGTGGCTAATGTGGCCAAAAAAATTCTTGGACCTCCTCTTCCCATCTAAACCCTGGGCCATAAGCAGCTGCCTAGGAGTGCCTTACAGTTAATCCCGCTCTGCAAATAGGATGTGCAAAGATATTTGTCCTGTGTTCTCTACTAAACTGTTGTCCTAACAAGGTCCCTAAGTAGTTCTGGAACTGGGGGAGTATTATTTACTGAATAGTAAATCAAGGTGAAAATTTAAATATTCCTCAACATATTTATTTCTATTGCTGCTTTTTTTGTCAACATTTTGCAAGAGCATTGTACTAATCCCAGTCACTGTTTAATGCATAAAAATCTCCAAATTATTTTATTCCAATATTATTTTTGCTCTTAGTTCAGTGAAAAGTGAAGTGCCTGTGGGAAGGGTTGAAATACCGGTACATGTTAAGAATTCTAAAAGAACACACTTTATAAAAAATATTGCAAAGTCTTCAGACATACTCTACGAGTGATCAGCAGCAGGACATTTATGTAACAGTATCTGCTGTGTCAAATGGAAAGCCTTAACATTCTTACAACATTGTAAACAATACAATACATGTTCTCTGTCAAGAAGAGGAATATCCGTGTAAAAGGACAAATGATTATATTGTACACTTCAGTTATTTGGTTGTGGATGGATCAGAATCCAAGGACAGAGATGAATCTTTTCAGCAATGAACTGCACAAGCAGCTGTGTCACTCTGATTGTCACACACGCACCAAAAATTACATAAAGAAGAATATATGTAGCACGCAGTAACCATAGAAACATTTGTCTTTAACCTCTCTGCTGCCACGGGGGCCAAATACAGGTTAATGGTGCTGTGTCCAATGATCCATATACTGCCATCTAGTGCTCTCTGTGTCTATTTCTATCAGACATGACTGTGTTTAGGTGCAGGGCTGCTGTCAATAAAGTGAATCTGTCACTTGTGAGATTAAAGAATTTGTGAATTCAGCAAAAAAAAAAAGAAAAAGTGTTTTAATTGTATAAGCAATCTAGGATCAAGTACGACCTGCTCTAGACACACCACCAGAAAGGCCTCTATTAATTAACGCATTAATTCAATATGGTA